TCAACCTGCCGGTACATTTTGGCAATGTCAGCCGACAGTGCAAATGGCCGAAGTCGAAACCTCAACAAAGTGGAGTACAAACATGGTTGGACCAACCATAAGAATGTCATTTAATGACTTCTGTGACGACGTCTTGCTCGACGCGTCGAAAACTGTGGTCTTAGCACACACTGGTATGGAATAAAATAATGTGGCTCTCTCGGAATTCTATTGTCGGTAGCAGTCATATGGCCCAACGAAATATATTCCAACATAAAGTTGTTGTACATGACATATATTTCTGGCTGCTTAGCCATTCTTCTCTCTAGTGCCAAAAAACGCCTTTTAGCATTCTCAAATGAGTTGCCAAGACACTGAGGGCTAGATTTAAATGGCAATGCGACACTTAGCCGACCCGAGGGCAAACGAGTGATTGAATTCATTGAATTGAATTGATGATTTCTCACAAAGCATCTGTTCTGGGGTATATAAATTTGTTTCAGTTAAATTTGGAACTTCTTCCAACTCCCAGCACCTGCGAACAAGTGTGTCTAAATTAATTAGTTCATGATCAGGCGAGATATCATGACTTGAGTTTACAAGGGACGCAGAACAAGATTTGGGTGAGCTCGCAGACTGGCATCGGCCAGCCACTATCCAGCCGAGGGCTGTTGCTTGTAACGATGGAGACTCACTTGTTCCTTTTACGTGCCCTTCTCTCAAAAGCTCGAAAAATGCATCTGCTCCAAGAAGCATATCAATACGTTGTGGCCTATGAAATTGAGGATCCGCCAACTGAAGACCCTCAGGCACATCAACGTTTACCACAGCCTTTTCAGGCTGGTAGGACGAAATAGCGTTCAAAATTCAAAATTCAGAACCGAATGTGAAGTTGCCGACGCGTGAAGCTATCGACGTTTGCACGACATGTCTGACAGCAGATTTTCGTTTACCTATGCCAACTAAGCTTATATCTTTTCTTTCCCATTTTAAATTCAACGATTTGGCCAACTCTTCCGTCATGAAATTGACTTGGGAACCAGAATCGAGTAAGGCCCTGGCAAGTTGGAAAGATCCTGATTGATCGATAACTCGAACAACTGCCGTAGCTAATATGACCTGGTCAGAAACAGTAGTTGCATGGTTAACAACCGAAGTTTGTGCTGGCGTTGCCGGCTGGGCAGCTACTGACTGACTAACAGGTGCAGGATGTGGGAAATTTGCAGCATATTTGTGCAGGATTGTGTGGTGTGGTTTTGAGCAAACTCTACACCCGGCTGATTTGCACACTTTGGTTGTATGACCCTTTCTAAGGCAGTTTATACATAACAGAGACCGTTTCACGAAATTGAAACGTTCGTCTCGAGTTATCGCTGCAAATTGGGTACACGAATGTATGTAATGCTCATTCGACTGGCAGAACGGACACTTCGGACCAGACGGCTGACTAGGCTGAGCAACTGGTAGCGCAACTTTACTACCCTTTTTTGCATAATTGGCACAACTTTTTTGACTACGGCCACAAGACGATTCTTCAGCGGACAAATGCTGATAACGTCGATTGAGTGCAGCCTCGCAATCTTCCCAAGACGGAAGACGGCTGTAGTCAAGGCTTTCCTCCCACTTTGAACGTGTAGTGGGGTCAACTTTGCTCATAACCAAATGTATGAGCATTAAGTTTGAAATTTGTTTATCGTTGCCTAACGACAACAACGACTCGTAGCTGGCGCGAACATTATCAATCAATGAACGCAACGACACAGCTGACGGGCTTTGCAACTTGGGCAAATCAAAAAGTTTGGCAATGCTATCAAATACGATAAGGCAACTATTATCGTACACGCGCTTAAGCGCTGCAAGCGCTTTAGGATAATTATCCTCGGTTACCTGGTAGGCTCTAACGGTACCAAGCGCTTCTTTTTCTAGGCATGAAAGCAGGTGGTTGAACTTTTCAATATTGGACAAAGATGGATCGTCGTCGACCAAGCTCTCAAAAAGACCAATAAAGTTTTTATAATCGGAATAGTTTCCGTTAAATCTCGGCAACTTCATTGCTGGAAGTTGCCGGCTATGAGAGTGTCCACTCATTGTGGAATTGGCTAAACTATCCGTATGGAGTTTTGCCCGTCCACCGCTGCTCATGAGCAATGCCTTTGCTGTGACGCACAGACTTTCTAAGTCTGCTCTAGAAGCTAGAGAAGGATTTATGTTATCGAGCTCTTCCTGTATTTTGAATGCCTTTTCTATATATCTATTCAAAATTTCTAGCCTGCACTCAACCTCGAACGGTTCGATGACTGGGGTACTCTGAATGGAGCGTTTAATGCGTTCAATGTCGCGAACCACATTATCATGCGACTATAGCCAGCAGTCGGCTTTACTAGAATTCGACTCGTCTAGTTCTCTGCTCTGAACTTGCTTGCATCTTTTACTAGGCATTTTGATTCTATTTTATTAAAATCGGTGTATTGATAAATTTCAATAATAGCTGGCGATTATCAAATCTAACGCTAATATACTAATGGACAGGTACAATGGCTAATATATTAGACCGGCACGTTTTAAGTTCAACTTCCTAAATATGCACAAACTCAAAAGTGTGCCTAATATATTTGGCCGGCACTGTTCTATTAGTTAGCGCAGCTGATCGACGCAAAGCAAACACAAGTTCAATAACTCGAATTAATATTTGAGTTATCAAACGTTGGCAGCGCAGCTACAACAGAATAAATATTCGGCAGCGGCGCAGGCGCTAGCAGAATCAAGCAACAAGTGCGAAGAGAATCGCTGCAAATTTAAAGTCGCTAGACGAATGCACAAAGCCAACGCACGATTGCTTGTTGCTTTGTGTGTGCCTATGTACAGCTGTAACCGTTTGCAGACCGAGCTGCAACGACGGACAGTGGACACAAGTACCAAAGAAAAAGCAACGGCAAATTGGTAAAGCGCAACGACCCAGCCGAGAATTTGGCGCGACTAAAATTTTCTCTTATGTATTTATGTATGTATGTATGTGTGTATATATACATGCGTGTGTATATGTTTATATGTAAATGTATATACTGGGAATAATTTTATGCCAAGCGCAACCAGTTTAAATAATACAAATACATATGTATATCAAGTTCAAATTTGACTTAGTTTCTTTATTCAAACTTTATTCAACTGTGCATGCATTTAATAATGTGACAATGTCGGTACAAATAATTATTCCGAATGCCAAAAAAAGTCACGGTCCACCTTGCAGCAAATAAGCGCAGTTATGTACATACATACGTATTGTCATTTGGCAATTTGCATTTATTTATTTTGCACAAGCCGACAATGTTGGTACACACATGTGTGGCCGAAACTTAATTTGTATTCGTTACCTGTGCACTTCCCTGACAATTATGGAAAGTCATATGGATGCTGGATGAACTTGCCAAGATCCAAACCCAACATTAGGCACAAGTTCAGCAATCCACGTACAGGAACGAATCCAACGAAGAACGAAGTCCAGCGGCGACCAAGAAAAGCCAAAGTCCACCCGGGGGCGCCAAAATGTTCAGCTAAAGCTGGAAACTTGCCGGTATGGCAAAAGCTAAGGTCCAATGTATTTGAGTTACTTCCAAATGAGGTAAATCTCACGATAATGGCAGACTGCTTTTGGCTCGCACTGGATATTAAGAAATTGCAAAGAAAAGCGAACTGCACAGTCTGAACTCGATTTGCTAAGTGATTTTATTTTATCGTTTATGCTCGCTCTCATGCGCGTGTGGAACGCATTGAGAGACAGCGCGAGAGAGCAACATATGTGCATAGAACTTATAGCTGTAAACAGACAGCGCCTAACAATTACATATATATATGTGCAAACAATTCATGTTTTTTTTACTTAAATCTAAACTTCAATATTCTTAATAGCTAATGCAATTCTTAAAACTATGAAATGACCAAACAATTACTTTGTGTGGTTTACCAGAGAAGCTATATTTGTATCCCATGAAATGGATACTCAGGGTATTAAGTGCGCCCTTATCAGTACAGTAAAATACGCGACCATAAATAAAAACATTTACTTATCTATTATATGTATAAAGTATATATATTCTTGATCAGGGTGACAAGACGAGTCGATCGAATTTTGCACAATTGTGCCTGATGTGTGTACGCTATACGAACTTGTTGTAAGTCGGGAAATCCGACTTTAGCTTTTTTACTTGTTTTTATACTCTGTACTTGAAACGTACAAGAGTATATTAGGTTTTCCGCGAGCTGGCATAACGAGGCAGATCCGACAAAGTATATATGTATGTATACTTTTGATCAGCATGACAAGATGAGTCAATCTATGTTTGCCTGTCCTTACGTCTGTATGAACACCTGGATCTCAGAGACTATAAGAGATAGAGACCAAAAATGTTTCACAATGATGCCTTATGTGTGTACGCTATGTGAGTTTTTTTATACAATAGTTTTTTATTTTCCCCACTCCACTATTAAATTTCAGCACACTGACCGGCGAGTATACCCGCGGCAGAGTAGCATCGTTACAGTATAATCATCTATATCTCGGATACTATAAGACCTAGGCACACCAAATGTTAGTCGAAGATGCCTAATGTGAATACACATAAAATGTATATTTTGGAATTTCCCCCAATTAGCGATTTTCCGTAACTCCCAATTGATGGAATTTTGTACTCAGATTTAGCAAATACCTCCAGTTATTGATTTTGAGTCCGTATGCCGATACGATAGGTTACATAAACATGTCTTCACTTCTGTATGTATGTATGTACTGAATGTATATTAAATTTAATTAATTAATTTAATTTAATAAAATAATATTTTTTATTTACCTTTTTAGTGGAGAGTACAGGGTATTTTACTGTCGGGCTGACTGTAACTCTCTATGTTATTTTAATTTCTATAATTATTCTACACATATGTACAGAGTATTTCAAAGTCGGGACACCCGACTTTAGTTTCTCCACTTGTTTTATTATATACTAAACCGAAACAATATCTTCTTACAGATCACGTAATATCTTAGATGACTTTAGGGAGGCATATTACTGGCTTTCTCAAAATACTGCGGATGATGCGCGTATAATGTCATGGTGGGATTATGGATATCAAATAGCTGGCATGGCCAACCGAACAACATTAGTAGATAATAATACTTGGAATAATAGTCACATTGCACTAGTTGGAAAAGCTATGTCATCATCTGAAGAAAAATCATATGAAATTATGACTTCTCTCGATGTGGATTACGTTCTTGTTATATTTGGTGGTGTTATCGGTTATTCTGGAGACGATATTAATAAGTTTCTATGGATGGTCAGGATTGCTGAAGGAGAGCATCCTAAAGACATCAAAGAAAGCGACTTTTTTACTGACCGTGGTGAATTTAGAGTAGACGCTGAAGGTTCTCCTTCCTTGCTTAATTGTCTAATGTACAAGTTAAGTTACTATCGTTTCGGGGAGCTAAAATTGGACTACAGGTAAGCAATAATGGTTCTTTCAAATCGTCTTTAGTTTTATACCCTATACTCAAACGGAAAATAGGGATTGTGAGCACTATGTAACGGTTATCCCCGACGTCATAATGTGTATTTATTCTTAATCGCCATAATGAGATCTAGACATGTCCGTCCGCCAGACTGGATGAACAGTTGCATTTCAGAAACGGCTGGGCCCACATAGACCAAAATAATATTAGGACTCTTTTATTTTTAAAAAAAAAAAATTTTTTATTTTTCCTCCTCCAATTCCAACACTGCACAGACTTAACTTCACATATATGCTCCCTATACGTTTATCTCTCTCTATATATATATATATATATATATATATATATATATATAAAACAGTTTCTCCTGACTGGCAATCAAAGCACAGCCCAAACGGTAAGAGCAAGGAAGCTTAAATTTGGACTCAAGTATCCTTTCATAGTGTACGCTGGCGATAAGAAGGGATTGTGGAAAACTCGAGCTCCAAAGGGGGGAAAACGAGCTCCAAAGTTTGTTTGAAAAATCTTAAGTTTTCTTCCAATTAGCTTCAAATTTGATTTTTATAATCTATAAAAGAATACAAACAAAGCATACTCGAAATTTGTGGTGGAGCTTGAATTATTGGGGTTTTCATATTTATTCACCTTTTCAAATGAAAAGTTTGTGTTATAAATTTTTTCCGATCGATTTAAAATTTGGGGACTGTAATCTACGTAACTAAATCTACAACTTTGCGTTCAAGGATTTTCAAAATATGCATTTTTCAAATACAGGCAGAACAAACAATACAAAATATCAAACAGTTGGGGACAACTAAGTATACATACACACACACACACATACAAGCAGCTGTTCGTGTAGTTGCGTGCAAACGATTGAAGTAGCCAAACAAAATGTGAGACACTAATGTGTGAATGTACACACATACATATGTACTCATCTATGTACATGTACACATCTATGTATGAATGCATATGTGTATGTTCATTCGTCTGGCACTGACAGGGCAAGAAATGTTAATTTATTAAAAAATATTTAACATTTTTAAAAGTAATTTTTTCTTTGTTAAGTACATTTGGCATTAGGGTTTTCATTAGTAACTTTATGCAGCAACAACAAATTACAAAGAACGCAAATATCAAATAGTTGGGGCCATCATATACACACACTCGCACACAGAACAAGCAACAGTTCGTGCCTATGTATGAAAAAGTAAAGAGAAATATGCATGCATATGTACATACATATGTATGCCTGTGTACGTAAATATATAGCATGTATGTACCTTCGTATGTATGTATGTATGTATACACTGGACAATCGAGCACTGTTGTTTGATTGTAATAAATAATGTTCTATGGTTTTAAATCAAATTTTTAAAACGAAAAACAACAACAACTGCAAGTCATTGGCTCGCGCTTCTTCTTTCGTTTTGATCATTTACGCCTGTCAATTTCAAAGGCAAAATGCCAAAAGTAAGTGACAGTAAAGCAGAAACCGAAAGCGGACCTACGCATATTCTGCTTCGCGTTGCGGGCAGATGTACATATGTATGTTTGTATATGATTTGTTCTAATTGATCTCAATAAATTATAAGATGTTATTATTTAAATTTTCTGTTAATTGCATTCAAACTTCGATGGAATTATTGATTGTATCGACGGATTCAACTATCAATAGTTTTGATGCTGTAGCACATAGAGCATCCGACACATGCCCATCTCTAGCATCTCAGCTGATCGCATATTTACAGCGACTTACCGTTTTAATGTTAGCTAACAACGCTACAAATGTATTCTGAACAAATCTAAGAGTAATTTACCGTTAAGTCTATTTTGTGAGTGTATTCATGCGATTTACAATATCAGAAATACACCTTTTACATTCACAACAATCATATTTGGAATTGAAGACACAAATTAGTGTTGAATTAAAAAATTTAATACATACTTATTCATATATGTATGTATGTATGTATATAGGCGGATAACGCCTACATGAAAAATTTAAATGTATGTACATATCAGCGTTGCTGAACGCTCCAATTTTGGCGGGACGTCCCGATTTATAAATCCAAATTAAATGTCCCGCGTCGGACTTTTCGGGGATAACTCGACCGTGCGTACAACGTGCTGAGAAAGCACACAGTTAAGTCAGGACTGGCAGTCCGCCCGGTGCGTAACGAAGATATTTATGTATGTACGTATAACCTTATTGTACTATATTTGCTTTGTGGAAAATGAACTCATTAAAAAACTCTAGAGACCGTCGAAAGAAGAATATCATATAGTAATTAAACTTTTAATTATAAGCACATTTTACTTAGCCCAGCAAAGACGGGCAAGACCTGCTAGTAAATATATATAGTACTTGAAGGTCTTGCCCGTCTTTGCTGGTTCAGTATTTGTGCTTACAATTATACGTTTATTTACTATATGATATTTCTCTTCCGACACTCTCTAAAGTTTCGAAAGAGTTCATTTCCCAAATAGCAAATTATTTTGGTACGATTCGAAAGAAAAGTACAATAAATGCTGTGTATGATTATATGTGCATGCATACATATGTACATACCTATGTATATTTATGTATATAGTATGATAGGGATAAATCAAGGCAAGTAATTTCTAGAATTAAAAGCTGTATAATTTAGCAACGTTATTTGGTCAACTTATGCAACAGTTTATTCTGTATTCTTTCTCAGAGTAAATACTATACATAAACCAAGTTTAAAGTTAATCGGATTTCTAATTCTCTAAAACCACTTGTTGGTGATCACCTACACTTTGTCAGCTTTTTGAGCCTGTCCCGCGCGGGATATTTAATTTTGATTTAAAAATCGGGACGTCTGGCAACGTTGATATGTACATACATATGCAAAGTTTATTTTTTCATGCAGGCCCGATCTATCCTCATGCATGTACATACATATGCATACATATAAGTGTATGTATTCCATTGTACAGTTCAACACTTATCCATATGTGTTTTTTGAATATGAATGTTTTGAGTGTAAAAGGCGTGTTTCTGCTTTTGGAAATCGCAAGAATACATTCACGGAATGAGCTTAATACATTTGAAGCGCTTTTAGCTGACGCAACCTTTTAAGACAAACAGTAAATCGCTTGTAAATATGCGGGCAGCAGAGGTGCTAGAGATGGGCATCACGAATCCGTATGCACGGTGAATAGATACACAAATTTTTCATTCTAAATTGAATAATTGGGAGAATGTCGATATTTAAATTATGCTTGTATACATGTGTATATGGTAGCCCAATTTCCAAAACCGATATACAAGGTGCGTTCCAAAGTAAACAGGACTTATGAATCTAGCGCCCCCTGGTGGCGCTATCTATATGTCGACTGTCCAGTGAGAATTTCATGACATTTCATCGATTGGAAGTGAAGTTATTGCGTTTTAAGTGTCAGTATGTTTGTGTTATCGGTGCGAAAATGAGCTTCGGACAAAGAGCCAACATTAAATTTTGTTTTAAAATTGGTAAAACTTTTAACGAAACGTTTCAATTGATGGATCAATTTTATGGCGATGATTGCCTATCCCGTAGCAGAGTGCACGAGTGATTTCAACGTTTTCAAAGTGGTCGTGAGGACATAAATGACGATCAACATGTGGGCCAATCAAAATTCGTGATCACCGAAAATTCCATCGAAACTGTGCGTGAATTCATCAAAAATCAGCCGGAATCATTGAAATTGATGGAAATGGAATTGAACATCTCGAAAACATCGATTTATCGCATTTTGACCGAACATTTGGGCTTACGAAAGGTGTGTGCACGGTTTGTTCCGCACAAATTGACTGACGACCAAAAATTGCTCAGACGATCGACGTTTGTGACCGATTATTTGACCAAAAATCCCTTGCTTTTTTCAACAATAAAATACATATATGTACATAACATTATGTTTTAAGATAGATTTTGTGCAAAAAACTGGAATAAATATTAGAGTATTTCCTTACTTAAAATTATATAATGGTCGTTTTTTTTTTTTTTTTCTTACGTTCTTACGTTGTTTTTCACGTTCGTGTCTTTTCGTGCTTTATTGAGTCAACACAAAAACGCACGAAATTGGAATATGAAACATGGCACTCGTGTCCACGCAGTGCAGCGATGTGCCACGAACAATAAAAAGCACCGATTTTGCCCATCTCTGTTTGTGCCTGTGAGTGTGTTACTACTGTGTAAGTGTGTTTATGTGATGCCCCCAACTGTTTGATATTTTACGCTCTTTGTTATTTATTGTTGCTGCATATGGCAAGTAAAAGACATATTTCTATACACCTGGCCCTCGCTTAACGCGGGGGTTACGTTTCTTGAAAACATCGTGTTAAGCGAAATCGCGTTAAACGAGCTATGTATTTCCATACAAAATGACGGGTTACGTTCCTAGACTTCGAAAAATGCATACAACAATTTTTTAGTGTTTAAATTTATTAGTTTCAAAAAGATAAAAAGGTTTATTCAAATGGCAAACGTTTTCAAAAGTAAAAAGAGAACACATATGTATTAAAGTAAAATAGTAATTCATTTAGTGGCATTTATAGCAGCTTTAGTAATTAACATTTTTTATATGGTGGCTCCCCTTGCGTGGCAAAAAACTTCAGTAACTTTCGACTGTTTAGTGGCTCTTAAAGCTTCATAGCAGCTCTCCTTTTGTGGTTTATTTTCTTTGGCTGCCATGTAGAAACTGCAATATGTATTATTTACTAATTTACTTTACACAATTTTATTTCATTCAACGGTTAAACCATTTCACTTATCACAAGAATTTTAATCTTACTATGTGCACGTCTGAAGAAATAAAGTTTTGCTCACCTTAGCAACTATTTATGTATGGACATAATAAGTATACACTCGATCTTACTCTGATGGTGTAGAAAGTGGAACTTCCCTTTTTCTACACACATCTCATGTGTGGTGATACATACTATACCCAAAGATACTCATGCAATAATCGATAAAATAA